CTCTTCACCGACGTGGTGCTGCGGGCGGGGAACCAGGCCTTCCACTGCCACCGGGCCGTCCTGGCCTCCTGCAGCCGCTACTTCGAGGCCATGTTCAGCGGTGGCCTGAAGGAGAGCAGAGACGCCGAAGTCAACTTCCACGACTCCCTCCACCCCGAGGTGCTGGAGCTGCTGCTGGACTACGCCTACTCGGCCCGGGTGCTGATAAACGAGGAGAACGCGGAGTCCTTGCTGGAGGCCGGGGACATGTTGCAGTTTCAGGATATTCGGGATGCTTCGGCTGACTTTCTGGAGAAGAATCTCTACCCTGGGAATTGCTTGAACATGCTGCTGCTGTCCGATGCCCACTGCTGCGAGCGGCTGCTGGAGCTGTCCTGGAGGATGGCGTTGGCCAACTTCACCTCGCTCTGCAAGACTGAAGACTTCCTCCGACTGCCCAAAGACAAGCTGCTGGAGCTGGTGGAGAGCGAAGAGCTGGAGGTAGAGGATGAGACGCTGGTCTACGAAGCTGTTATCGGTTGGATCCGGTACGATTTGCCCCGACGCCACGAAGTTCTGCCAGAGCTGCTGCGCTCCGTCCGCCTGGCCCTTCTGCCCGAGTCCTACCTGCGGAAGCAAGTGGCTGGTGAGAAGCTGGTGCCCAGCCACAAGCTGGGGGAGGAGATCGTGGCCGATGCCGTGCGATGCAAAATGAAGATCCTGCAAAACGATGGCCTTGTGACAGGGTGCTGTGCCCGACCCCGCAAGGTCAGCCAGGCCCTGCTGCTGCTCGGTGGCCAGACCTTCATGTGTGACAAGATTTATATGCTGGATCATAAAACCAGCGAGATCATCCCTCGTGCCGACATCCCAAGCCCTCGTAAAGAGTGCAGCGCTTGCGCCATTGGGTGCAAAGTGTACATCACTGGCGGCAAAGGCTCCGAGAACGGCGCTTCCAAAGACGTCTGGGTTTACGACACCCTCCACGACGAGTGGGCAAAAGCTGCTCCCATGCTGGTGGCACGGTTTGGCCACGGCTCCGCTGAGCTGGACCACTGTCTGTACGTGGTGGGGGGTCACACAGCAGTGAGCGGTGCCTTCCCGGCCTCTCCCTCCGTCTCTCTCAAGCAAGTCGAACACTACGACCCGCAGCTGGACAAATGGTCCTTGGTGGCCCCTCTCCGAGAAGGCGTAAGCAATGCTGCTGTGGTGGGAGCCAAGATGAAGCTGTTTGTTTTCGGTGGCACCAGCACCAACCAGGAGAAGCTGCCCAAGGTGCAATGCTTTGACCCCTGCCAGAACCGCTGGACGGTGCCTGCCAGCTGCCCCCAGCCCTGGCGGTACACGGCTGCCGCTGTGGTGGGCAGCCACATCATTGTCATTGGGGGGGACACGGAGGTTTCCGCCAGCTCCGCTTACCGCTTCCACAGCGACACCTACCAGTGGTCCAAATTTGGGGATGTCACCGCTAAGCGCATCAGCTGCCGTGCTGTTACGTCGGGTAACAGACTGTACGTGGTGGGGGGCTACTGCGGGGCTCAGCGCTGCAAAACGCTGGACTGTTACGACCCATCATCAGACACCTGGAGCAGTGTCACGACAGTGCCTTATTCCCTCATCCCCACCGCCTTTGTCAGCACCTGGAAGTACCTGTCTGCCTGAGTCACCGTGTGGCAAAGAACCTGGAAGGTAAATGGTTGCGGATCCACCCAGAGCTCCTCTGTATAACTTTGCGCTGCTCAAGGGTTAAACTCCGAGGGGCAGATGCACGTGGATCTGGACTGGAGTTGTCCTAGAGAACAGCCTTGTGCGAGCAGCAGCTCCAGAAACACGCTGGTGGTTTGGGATCTAAAACCCTGCAGGGGCAAGAAAGTCTCTTTAGGTGCTGAAATGCTGTGGGGAGAAGATTAGTATAAATAACAAGACACTTAACCTGGCATCCCAGCCCTTCCCCTGAGTCTTGGCCTATGCAAAGATTTTGGGGAATGCTCTCCGAGAGGAGGATTGGGTGTCATCCCTGGTACAGAAAGCTCGTAGAGTCGATGGTTGTGTTAACAGGCAGCCTGGCTGCAGGAGCTGGGATAGACCGCGCGGTGCCATGGGGGGGCTGGCTGCTGCTTTTAGCACAGCCGCCTCCTCCTGGTGCCAGGGTTAATCTGCGAGTGGCACCCAAATGTCTTGTGAGGGCTGTGAGCTGGTGCCAGAACAAGATTATAGCTGGGATTTAGTCCCAGAATGGTTGGTAACTGCATTTGTAAGACAAGCCCTGTCTACATATAAACACAGGGTTTCTCTGCTTCTAATTATTCTCTGGTGTCCCTTTCATGCCATTTCTTTTTCTGCTACACAGCGATTAACTTCTTAAAAGTTTGCAACTGGAATGAAACCTTTTTAAAGGCTCTTGGCAGAAAAGATGCCAGTGAATCACAGATCCCTGAAGGTCGGTTTTTTGGGGTTTTGCTGCGTGCTGCTCTCGCAATAGTTTCTTCTGCACTACAAGGCTTCACACCTGATTTTGCCAGTGTCACACTTCACCGAGTGTGATCCGGACACACCGATCCGGACAGGAGTCATGGACAGCAGGAGCACCTCCTCCTACCTGGCAAGTCTGTGAACTGTCCTGGATGCCAGCCCTTCCGTGGATCTCGTTAGCATCAGCAGGGCCCACGGCAACACAGCTTTGTCTTTGAACCGCTTCTGTAAATCCCCTTTGCTCAGACCAGCGAGGGGATGAGCATGGAGGCACCTCCTTGGGCTGGCAGCTTGTGCTGGCTCTTGAGACGGCGAAAGGTTTCCAAGTTTTCTCCTAACTCGTGTGATCTCAGAGCAGGAACCAGAGGAATGGGTTTTTTTACTTCTTTCTTTGAATATTTTAAGTGATACTTACGGAAAGGACAAAGGAAGCTCTTCAGTAACCGGCAGCAGGCTCTGGACTGCGCTGCTGTGACTTGGAACACAGGCAGCACCAGAGGCAGTTGCCTGAAATGTCTTAACACATGAGAGTGCTTTGCCCACGGGCTGGTTCTGTACACCTTTTCTTTTTTTAATACAGCAGTTGTGTGTGTTTATTACTCAGCCTGGAGCTGCTTCAATAAATCTGGATAAAATCCCGTGTGTCCCTTGCCTGTTCTGTGTGCTTCTGCTGCAAGTTTTCCCAGCCCAGACTTGAGAGAACGATTAGCAAAAGTAGTAAAGAGCTCCTTGCTTCAGAGTCCAGACCTTCATCAGCCGGAGAGGGCTCAGATCCTCTTATCTCTTTGTAACACAGGACTTAGGAAGGCTCGGGTCCTGTACTGCTTTTCAGCTTTGATGGACACACAAATCTGTTTAAAACTCCACAGATGAAGCTACTCTCTGCCCTTATCTGGTTGTCCTCTGTGGAGCTGGGTTTCCTCACTGCCAAAAAGAATGGAGGAAAGGACCCGCGGGCTGCACGCTCCAGGCCCTGCTGCTGGTGGTGGTGGTTGGGAAGGAAAAGCTCTGTTAAGGGTGGGGGGTAGGAGACAGGAATCAGGATGGTCGGAGGAAACAGGCACCAAAGGTGCAACCAACTGTCTCGCCTCAGAAGCATGGTTTGGGTGCGATCCATTATTCTATCTCAGAGTTAAATAAATCAATGTCACAGCCCTTCCTAGCTGCTAGTATAGGCAAGAGCTGACAAGACTGGAAGGAAGGAAGCTGCCCTGCTGCTGGTGGCTGAAGCAGATAAACTCACTTCATTTCCATCTTGTTTTCTGATGCCACTGCCATTTTCAGCCTCCAGGTTGGGCCTTTTTTCATTTACCCTTGCTGTGCCACCTCTGCATTGCTTGCCCAGCCCAAGGGGAGGCTTGTGCACCAGGTTGCAGGGAGATGAGCCCACAGCCTGCCCCGCAAACCCAGCTGGGGGCACCGTGGGCAGCAGCATAGAATCACAGAACCATTTAGGTTGGAAAAGACACTTTAAGCTCATCGAGCCAAACCATCCAGCAGCCGGAGCGTGGGGCAGCTCCCAGCTTGGCCATGCCTCACAGGCAAGCAAGCTTGCAGCCCTGGGGAAAGTCACAGCACAGGACATGGTGGGGACAGGAAGCATCTCAATCCCTGTTAGCAAGCAGGGAGCTGCTTCACCTTTATTCTATCTACAGCTATTCCTGAGGGTAGGACAAAGTCCAACTTTGCTCAGCAATTCAGAGGAGCGGAGGTTTCATTCATGGCCATTTGAGCAGCAGCTGTTTTATTTATGCTGCCAAGCAATAAGCGTTGGCTCCCTGCCACATCCGCCTTTTGCACCAGGGACAAAGTGGCTTCTAGCAACATGGGTCTCTGTCTGCCTCCTGCTCCTGGCGCTGAGATGTTATCTGAGCCACATTCACGGCGTTTTCAGCTAGGGGAGCGAGCAGCCCTGCTGCTGAAGCCTTTGCAAGTGTCTGGGAATAGTTTCCTCCTTTCAAAGCACACTTACAGCTAACTACCTCTCAGGGAAAGCCGGCACTTCAAGCACACCTGGGCTTGGCTGCTCTGCAGCAGCTCCACACTGCTGGCAACAGAGACAGCGAGAGCTGCATTTCATTGCCTTAATCCTCCTTCACCTGGCAGAAAGCCCTGGGCTCTCCCTCCAGCTCCACCTCCTCCTGGCAGGAACCAGCTTCCAGCACAGCAGGGAGCACCCCTGGGGAAAACCAGACACCTTTTTCTCTTGCATGCTTGACATCATCCCAGCAGACCTGTTTTCCCAGTTTGACATCTCCACGAATGGATCCAATCACTACCTCAGTGACGGGGCCAGAAGATTTAGGCCAGCTGGGCTGCAGGTGACTTTGGTTTCAGAGTTAATTTGGTTACTGGGACAGAAATCCTCCTGAATTAACAGAATTCATTTAGAATCTCAACATAGCTCAAACCTACCTCTCCTCCTAGCCCGTCGTGGCTGCACCCCTCCAGCTGCAGGAGCTAGACCCCAGCCCAGTCACATCTGGAAGAGGCATACGGGCATCACTAGGCACAAAGCCAAAACAATCTAAGCCTGACATCGCTCTCCCGTGGGATGTTCCTCTTCTCACACCAAGCCTACGAGCCACCATAGCCAGAGAAATACAGTATCAGACTGACCCACCTCCCTCCTGGCCACAGGATAATGAGCCAGTGTCCATTTTAAGTGAAATTTACTGCTTTTTGCATTTGTAGGTGCATTCTGCTCAGCACCTGCTGCCAGAGCACCAAGCCTTTCTCCCTTCTCCTCCACGGATGGGCAGTGCTGTTAATTGCAAAAAAAAAACCCAGCACAGCAGTAACTGAGAAATTCCCTTTTTCTGTCTGAGACTGGACATGGATCATTGGGATGCTTGGCAGTACACCCACTGCACATCTAGCAAGGAATTGGGGCGCACGGTGCTGTTAGGACAACATTCCACGGCAGCCCAGGAAAAACAAAGCGCTAACTACGCACAGCATGATTGTCTGTCCGTGACTTCCAAATATTCTGGAAGGGAAGAAGGACATTCAACACCTAACCTGTCTGAAATCCCCTCAAAACTTGCATAAACATAAGAGGTTTCAGTTGAATATGAGGAAAAACTTCTTTACTTTGAGGGTGACAGAGCCCTAGCCCAGGCTGCCCAGGGGGGCTGTGGAGTCTCCTTCTCTGGAGATATTCAACCCCCACCTGGACAAAGTCCTGTGTAACATGCTCTAGGAGAATCTGCTTTAGCAGGGGGGTTGGACTGGGTGAGCTCCCGAGGTCCCTTCCAACCCTTGCCATTCTGTGATCTCACATGTAGTCATCTGGGATAGCTTCAGGTCTGGCAACACACTGTGCCCCGTACAGCGACGAGGCACCAGCTGCGGCTCTGGCCTGGGAAAGGCGCCTACATTGTGCTGCTCAGCGAGGATTTTGCATGCTCCTGTGTACACAGAGCTGTGTAACAAAGCGATCCCTGCTGCATTTGAGCCTCCTGTGCGTGCGACACTGTCCCAGAGCCAGGGACCACGCGTCGCACACTCCAACGCTGCCAGCTCTAAGGGGGTTTGGCTTTTATCCTTTGCCAGATCCCACAGGCCCCGAAGACACAAACGATGTAGGCACCACACAAGGACAGGCCCCACATATCCCTTGTCTGTTGAACCTTGGGCTGGCCCCATTGCCGGGATGAGAAATTAAACTGGATTTGAGTCACAGGGGTGAGGAAAGGGAAAAGGCAGAAACCATCACATTCCCACTGTCGGAGCGCACTACGGAGCCAATATCCCTTGTGCATGTTTGTCCTCAAGCATCTGGTTTGCCAATGAATCTCAGATGCACGTATGGGAACCATCAGCTGTGTCTCACCCACATGAAAGAGGAAGGTTTAGCATAAAGCTGGTCTTTGCCTATGGCCTTGGAATGATTCATTCAAATAGAAAGAATGTGGTTTAGGTTTCGGGTTAATTAGCTACAGATTTTAAAGAGAGACAAGGGAGGGCGGAGCTGCTGGAATACCGGTATGAGCAAGTTAACAGCTCTGAAGGCACCGTCATCCATCCTGAAATCGCACCCGCCTTGTGAAAAACAGAGACTGCGTCTCACAGATGAGCAACTGCGTTATCAATGACGCTGTCAGTCATGGCGTTTGCAATCACCAAAGGAATGTCTACCCTGCTGCTCTAGCAAGAACTGAAGCTTCACACAGAAACACCCACGCTCCTTTGAACACCGATGGCTGCAGCAGCACCAAACTTCTAACAGATGCAAATGCTGCCCGAGATTTCAACTTGCCCCTGTGGAGCCGGGCAGCTCCCAGTGGGAATCGGTGCTGCAGGGATCCCTCTTGGCCACGTTAACCCTGGATCTTCCTGATCCAGGCTCTTCTGTCTTTCTAGAAACAATTCCTACTGGTCCAACACATGATTATGGCTGCAGGAGAGTACAGCGCAATTAGAACATAAAAATTAAACCCATTGCTGTGGAAGCAGCTCCTCGGAACTTCTGTGCTAGACTCTCCCTCTCAGCTGTCCCCCACGAAATCACTTTGATTCCATTTCTTGCTGCTGAAAAATATTTAGAAATGGACATGAAGCTATCGCCTTGCTCTGGCGACAGAGATGTGGAAGCGCACAGAGGCAGTGACCTCCAGTGGCTGCTGCGGCTCAGCTCCCTGGAAGCTGAGCAGAGCAGCAGCAGATGTAAGAAATTTTCTCTTAAAGGAAGTGCAAGCAAAGGCTTATGCACACACCCACTCTAAAATGTCATTCACTAACACATCAGTCTGTTACTTCCCATGGTCAAGTCATATTTTAAACACTGCCGTGCCTAGAAGGTTTTGATTATTTACATACATTGGCAAAGTAGAAAAACTCGTGTTTTTCCAATTGACTTCCAGTTGTGCCGCAACCCAGATGTCAACCGCACTTCAGAGGCTGAAAAGCGCAGACTGTATTCTACTGACACTGCCTGTACACAAAGAACCTGGGTCCTCTGAA